AACCACGGCTAACCTTAACCACGGCTAACCATAACCACGGCTAACCTTAACCACGACTCACCATAACCACGACTTACCTTAACCACGGCTAACCTAACAGTTCACATCTCACCACAACCAGAACCTCAGGACGGAACTTCTGCCTCTTTAGAACCGAACGTGTTTGTCCGTGAATTTTAAATGATGTCGTAGTATTTTATTTGTTACCTTGACGTTGGTTTCCACAATAAACCCAACGAAGAAGAAGAAGAAGAAGTTATTTTCATCATATTATTATTATTTGGGGTCTAATGGTTCTGTGGAGGTCTGTGTTGGAAATAAAAACTAAAAAAACACACACACCTCTTCGCATTTTACAAAATGTCCTCACTCCATAAGGTCTATGCTCACAGCGCACACACACACACACACACTCCTACAAAAACAGGAAGTGCACTCTATCACAGGATTTTCTTATCTCGGAAACTTCTCATGTGGGTCAATGTGTCTCACGTGTCCATGTTGTTGAATTTGTACCTGCATGTGTGTTCTGTGTTGCAGGACGGAGACGCTTAGCGCCGCTGTCCATCAGGATTGTGGCACAGCTGAAGTCTAATGCACAAGGGTCACGGGTTCAACTCTTGTCTGTCCGAATGGCGTGCATTAGAGGTAGGACGGAGTGGACGGCCGCCAGAGATTACGGGCTTTCGAGTGGTCTGCTAAACAAGCGTCGCACCCGCATGAGAAATTCACCATTTAAGGTCAGATACGGATGTTGTGCAAAGGAAGAAGGATTTGGTTTCTCTTGGGATTTCAAATTTAGGCCAGAAGAACTAAATGCATGAGATTGTGTATCAATCAATAAACACTAAACTTGATTGTTCTCATGTTTGAGAGGAACGACACTGTTTTTATCTAGAAAACGTACAACTCTAGAAAAAAAAGACAACAATGACCAAAACTGAGAAGCTCGAAGAACGACTTCATTTCAGCTCAAATTTGAGATTTCAGGACATGAAGTTTTTATGCTTTCCTCTGATCTGTAGACTTGTACAAAGAGGAAACGTCAGATTGTGCCATCGACACACGCAGCTCTTCCTCTGAAGGCTCCGAGTCACACGTGGCCTCGGTCTGACTCATCGCTCATGTGGGAGTTTGATTTCTATTTATCGCTGAGGTACAGAAGTGACCAGCAGACGTTCCATCCATCTGTCATTCTGTGTTTACGTTTCAAATCCCACATGTGTGGCATCATCTGCTGCCTATCCGGAGACACTGACACCTCCCATCTGCCCACAGCTGAGGAGCAGGACCAAAGAGACGAACCTCCATGAGACAGAGTCCCATCGGAGCCACGCTCTACTTCTGTGACACGGGAGGGAAATCATCCCGCAGGGAGTCCCACCACGATACTTATATCGACGTGGAATTGATCAGTGGAGCGGCCGTCTCTGCAACATCCTGATAGGTGGGTTACGTAACACGCTCTTTTATCTGCCTCATGATCGTTGTCGCTCTGCAGCTGATGTAAGGAAACACCACAGAGATGATGTGTACGTTCACTTCCTGCAGCTCTGACGAGGAGCTGCAGCAAACTGCAAAACCAACACTTGTCAAAGTATTTTCACCTGACGTGGTTTCCAACGTTGTCCTGAAATGAAGAATTTATCAAAGTATAACTCAACACTAGAACGGCGACGGTCTTAAATTCAGTCAAGCTGCACCAAGTGACACACACTCACAGATATCAATGAACGATATCTCTGTGTTAGAGAAAGTTAAAAACTCCTGGAGCCGCCCTCTGATCTGGATCTGCACCAAAATGTTGTGGTTTCATCTTCGACCACATCCTCTCACCAAGTTTCATTCAGTTCTGTTTTTGTTGTTTTGTTCACAATCAAACAAATGGCTGAAAACTAAAAGTCCTTGGAGGAGGTAATTACCTCTGGCCTTGTGTGTGTGTGTGTATATATATATATAAAAAAAACCACAACCCTCGATCAGGAGCTCTTATCTGTCTTTAAACTCAAAACAGAAAATAATGTGACATTCATCGTGATAATTATCGACTGATACGAACATTTTCTCTCGTTCTAATTCTCCTCCGAGCCTTCAGCCTGTAGGAATATAAAAAATACATTCTTTCTGTACTGCAGCCTCGTACCAACATCAATTATCCATAAGTGCTGATCTTCAGTCATACATGCTCACCCCCGTCAGACGCTGCAGCATGACGCCTCATCACACAACACATCCTTTATTGTGCAAATATTAGCATGTATGGATCCAGATTGTGAATCTAACGCAAATAAAGTTTGATTTATGTGAAGTGAGCGACGCTCTGCAGAGGGAACTCCACCACAAACCCACAGCGTCAGGAAATACTGCATTGTGGGTATGCAGTATGTGTGTTTGAAAGAGTCGGAGCAGGAACAGAACATCTTCATGTTCTGGATCCTCTAGAACCCACTTCAGGGGGGGGGGGCTCCTGCTCCACCAGATGTTCCAGTGGTGCCCACTGTGGTGCCCACTGGCGATGTGAGCTGGTGTCGCTGCTGCCCCGCGCTCATTGCGGTGTTTCTGTCAGACTTGGGACTGAAGCCAAAGCCAAGAGTCGAGAG